CATTATTGATGAGATACAGACAATAATGCCAAAGAAAGAATAGGGGAAGTTGTTAGACCGAATTATAAAGTAAATGTGAAGTCGAAGGTCGCAGGTTCGGTTCCTGCCTCCGGCAAATTATCTTTTCACTACTTTTCTTTCTTCACATTTACATTACAATTCGGTCTAATAACTTCCCCAATACTTGATCGATTTGTGGGGTTTAACGTCCCAAAACCACCATATGATTATGAGAGATGCCGTAGTGGAGGGCTCCGGAAATTTCGACCACCTGGGGTTCTTTAACGTGCACCCAAATCTGAGCACACGGGCCTACAACATTTCCGCCTCCATCAGAAATGCAGCCGCCGCAGCCAGGATGACTTCCCCTATACTTTCCTTGGCATTAATGTCTCTTAGATCTCTCTCTCTCTCTCTCACACACACACACGCACACATATATACATATATATATACAGTCGAGCCCACATATAACAGCCCCACTTAAAACGAACAATATCCGCGTGACCGTCAAAATATACATCGGTTCAATGGCACAAAATCGCTCCTACAACGAAAGTCTCCGAGCGCCGCTGATCAGTTACAGCGAACGGAGTCAGCGGTCTTCCGACTGCCCGGGAAATCAATTTTGACCACCGATCAGGCATCGGCAAGGTGCCCATGCATTCTTTTTGTTAAACGCCAATTCTGCCTCCGCGCTCCTCTAGTTGCTGCTCTCCCCAACCGCTTTTTGTTACGCAACCCTCCGTCCTTTGTTCCCCCCCCCCCCCCCCCCCCCGCTACTCTGAGCACCCCGCATCGCCAGAAGAGGCCCGTGTTTTCACACTGCCACCGATCTTTCGAAGACTGGTCGGCCACCACAAACCCTGTTTTTGATCGCTGGTACTGTTGTTGGCGTCACCGGCCTGGAGTGACTAGACCATTTGCCAACATCGTCGGCCACCGACTGTACCCGATAGTCTGCGTCTATAGTGCACCCGCGTACGCTACCCCACCGACTCTGATAATTTGCGATTCGTTTCGTGTTTAGGACTTGTTCTCACTCACATTGCACTCGGCTCAGCCCTCCTTCCGCGCGCGTGCGGAAGCGCGAAAACGGCTGTTAATTTGCGCAGAATGAATCGCAAAATATCGAAGTTCGTGAGGCCACGCAAACCCACCGGCGCAACAAAGCGATTTTTTGATCACGGCCGCCGATTCTTCGAACGCCGCCGCGCGCACCGAACGAGGCGGCCATGCTTTGACTTCTGCGAGCACTGGCACTGTTTTCAAGTTCTTCTACGTGCGAGTTTCGCGGATCTTTCAAGCAAGCTACCCAACCTGCCTCCTTCCCGTGTGTTTTGGTTTTCAAGGTCGCCCTCCCGCTGCATCCTCCCCTCTCTTTATCGCACGGAGGAAGGAATCTTTCATTCCTCCGAGCTTTATCGCAACTCCTTGCCCTTCTCTCGCAAGTCTGCTCTCCTCTTTTAATAACAACCCCTTCGCCCGTCTCCACCGCTCCGCGACGCTCGCCACGCTGGCTCGAATTAGTTTCGTTTTCCGACTGGAAACGCACCCAGAGCCGTTCCACGCGTGTGCGCGTCTTGCTTGCTCTTGGTGTGCGTGTGTGGTCATGATGGCCGACGGGAGGACTAGCACGCTTTTTCGTGCTGCTCAACGAAATGTCGAAAGTGTAATCCGCGTGTTAGCTGCTGCATTGCGGAGCGCTTGCTCATAAGCTGTTGACCACCTGGCAGCCAACTTGCCGCTTCGGGCGTTCCGGTATTCAGCTGTGGAGATGGTGAATATTTCGTGGGTGGCGGTGACGGCTACATGTGCGCGAAACTATTTTCGCGAGGCCGACTTCGTCGTCGATCGTCGGGCCCGATGCCGAGTCTGAAGCTTCCGAACAGGATCACTGCGCCGGCGATTTATGGCAGGGCGTCGTCGACTCCGACCTGGGAGAGCGGGTGGGACATCTGTTGCGATGATTTAATTATGGCCGATGATGATGCCGACACTGCGGAACCGTGCACGGATTGGGGCATTGTGAATGAAGTACATGGCGAGAGTGATTTGGAGAAATCGGATTGCGAGAACGACGAAGCTTTGGAGCCAGCACCTCATGCAGCTTATGCCACGGGCCTCGGCGAACGAGCAGCCTGCGGTTTTAAATGAACTCGAGCCCACCCTTATCGTTTCTGCTCTTCAAAACACGTGCATCACGGACTTTTTGGGGCAAAAAAAGTGTGTTTTCACTCGCAACTTTTTTAAAAGCAGTGTTTCATGTACTACGAACTTCGGAATACAGAAAACGGATACCGCGTCCCGCTCAGGTTTGTTATAAGCGGGCTCGACTGTGTGTGTGTGTGTGTGTATATATATATATATATATATATATATATATATATATATATATATATATATATATGGGAGAAAAGTGTATACTTAAGGGCTCATATTTCCGTGTTTTAACACAATATTAATGAGATATAACAGACAGTAATGCCAAGGAATGTACAGGGGAAGTTATTAGAACCAGTGGAATGTAAATAAGAAGAAAGAAGAAAGAAAAGTGGATGAAAAAATTACCAGCTGTGAGCAGGAATCGAACCTACGACCTTCGAATAACGCGTTCGATGCTCATTTGCTGCATGCTATATATATATATATATATATATATATATATATATATATATATATATATACACACACACACACACACACACACACACACATGCACACACACACACATAATGCTACATGCAGAATTGTCAATATGCTAGCACACAGTTTTTTGTTTGTTTAGGCTCGCTGGATGGTCACACAATAAAAGCCGACTGTTTTCTGTTTCCCAGCTCTATATTGGAGCAGGTTTGGGGCAGTTCATTACAAATAATACACTTTGGAGCAGCATGGAGCAGCATTTCTCTTTTGGAGCAATCGGAGCAGTACTTTTATCACTGCTGTGGCATAAGACACTCACTACTCACAGACTACCACAGTGCAGAAACTGCAGGCGATGGCTTCAGAATAAATGATCATGATGATATATTAAGAGACCTAACAGACAAATTGTGCCAAGGAAAGTATAGCGAATGTCATTAGAAGCAAGTGTAATGTAAATGTGAAGAAAGATATACGATCAAAAAGACAACCTGTAACCTTCGAATAACGTGTCTAATGTTAAATCAGTGCGACGTGATCTAACAATTGAGCTACCATGGGGTTATCACCCCATCCACTTTATAGGGTAGTATTTATAAGCACTAAACGTGGGTGCTTCAGTTAGTGCTGCGAGTAGCCAAGACGGAGAGCGTGGAACACTCTCTTTTCTGCCTTTTTTGGAATCACATTGCATGTGATCTGTAACGAGCTGGCAGCTGACCAATAATCCCTTGTACGCTAACTGACGGCACCAAGTCTGTTAGCTTGTAATAAGATAAAATGGCCATAAGTATCGCATAAGCTTCTGCTGTAAAAATGCTTGTGTTAGGATGCAGAGTACCACAAGGCTTCCAAGTTGTTCATATGGTTGGATCTGAGGCAGCTTGAACGGACGGTCTCAACTTGCCATTTTTGTCACTTTATAGCCCACTTCTAAGTCTTCTAAGACACAACAAATGGGAAAATTGCTCTTGCTTGTTTTTCTGTATTCTTGCTGTGCATGATATGGAATAGGTTGCTCCGAGTTGGCTAAAAGGGGGAGTTTGTCGGTGCATACTCTCTTCAAAGGGTAACGATCAAGTAAGTGGGGAAATGAGGGTGCTTCCCATAGAAAATTTGTATATTTCGGCAGCAGTAGCAGCCACCCACCATGAAGTCCAACTTAGGGATGCTGCAGCATTTAAAAAGTAAGCTAAGTTTCTTTTACAACAAATATAGAGTACAGCCAACTTACGCATTTTACAACAGTATTGCATGCCAGCAAAACAAGCCTATTTAATGTAGTTGTGAAGGATGAATAGCTGCTTGGCATGTTAGGATGAAGCGACACCGTCGTGCATGCGGAAAACTGATCGCAACAATGCCCATGGCAGGTGCTTCATATTAGAACAACTTGGAATGACACTGGGTTTCTACACTTTTAGGAAGTTCTTAATTTTACAATGGCTTCCCAAACTTTTAGTGGTTTCAGTGAAATTTCTACCCTCTATTACAATAACGTGCTCGGCCTAGTACAATTCCATGCTCAGGCCACTACACTTGAATACTGGTACATTTGCAAAAACACACCTGGGGAAAAGGGGGGAGATGTGATGACAAACTATTTTGTTTACTCGGGCATCGAATTTTACAAAATTAATTGGAGGTATGCGATCCTCTGTACCGATCTCAACTGCTACAAAATTCTTTGCTGTTCAAGCATTTTGATTCGTATTGAATATTCAAAGTTCCAAAAATTCGCACACCGTACTTGTAAGAGGATATATCAAATCTACAATGCGACAGTATAACCTACATTTTAAGGAAAGAAGTGTATGTCTAAGGGCTCATTTTCTTAGTTACACACAGAATTAATGGGGTCTAACAGACAATCATTCCAAGGAACATACACTCAAACTTCAATATAACAGACATGGATACAACAAAATATTGGTGATAACGAAGTAAATGAAAAATAGTGTTGCAATAGGGGCAGTGTTAGAAATTACCTTTATAACAAATTTATGTGTTTTCAAGATGCAACTTTGTGATGACGTTTGAGTGCATAGGGGATGTTATTAGGAGCAGTGGTAATGTAAACGTGAAGAAAAGTGGACGAAAAGATAACTTGCCATGAGCAGGGACCGAACCTGCAACCTTTGAACAACACTGCAACCTTTGAACAACATGTCTGATGTTCTACCAACTGAGCTAGCATAGCGGCTACCCCCCCCCCCCCCTTCCCCCGTCCACTTTACAGGGTATGTATGTGGATTAATGAGACAAAAGCAATCAACAAATATTTGTTATGTGCTGTGAAATAAACATGGGTAAGGAGGGGTGTAACATGAAAAAACTAAAAATCTCCTACTTACTTGTCACCAATCAGGTTAGGTAACTCAGAAAATACCTTCGTTCCATCCATACCATCATCGCAGGTCTTTCGACATACCTCATACACTAGTGGCTGGAGGAAAAGGAGAATTGTTACATATGAATAAGTGGCTCACTACATTATAAAAACAATGCACTCCAGTCTGTGATATCGCACAATGGGGCATTTAATGAATGAATTTTCATTTTGCGTGATGACAAAAAAGAGCATTGAGAGGAACATGTCAATAGAGCTTGCTACCAAGCCCTACACTAGTTCTTGGCAGTAAATGCAGCAATAAGACTGCAAAAGCATGACAAGCACAGAAGAAAAATAAAATAAAATGTAATAAATATAACAATTAATGCATTAAAGGAGTACTGACATGGTTCTGCGACCTCGCAAAGTATACATTTTTCATGTCCATGGTATACAATGCTAACGTTTTCCACCCAGCAGCTAATACATCTAAAATAGTCTGATATTAAAGTGTGTGTCCCAGAGCATCAGCAAGCCAGCGCCACCGCAATGGACTTTATCGCAATAAGTCATTACCACTGAGTTTGCCAACTGTATTCTTCATGCAGCCCAAATCTTAATATCATTTTTGGGGTTAGTGGAGACCATGCGCTCATCATTGTTTAAATGTACCACGAGCGCATGGCAGATCTGCCCACTAGTACGTCGCGAATTGCTGTCTCCTCATGACATCGCACTGCCATCACACATCACGGTGAAGTTGCCCCGTGGATAATGAAACTGAAAGTGTCCTTTTAAGTAGCAGTATCAAAAATATATGCTCTGCATTCCTAGGCACGACAAATCTTTTTAGGAGTCCTGAAACTCGTGCTCTTATTTATAGCAACGATTCTGAAATGCCTACAAGTTCGTGTCATTACTTCTTTACTACAGCTATTTAGGAATTTTTAAATACGCACACTTGAACTGAAATAAAGTACAATAAAACCTCATAACTTGAGCTCTGTTATTTCGAAATCCCGCTTAAAGCGAAATATTTCCACAATCCCGTATTTCACAGTGCAAGTCTGAGCGGATAATTTTAAAACAGCGATCAGCACTAGTCTGGTTAATTCGAAAACTGTGGGCTGACGTGTCAAATCCCGATGTCGATTTCACCGCAAATCCATGGAAACGTAGCTCTTAGTAGCCACAGGGCAAGGCAACGTAGCGATACTGATGAGTAGCGGCTGAAGCACTCCTGCCTCGCTACTTCTACAAACTTGCACAGCACAAAACTACGAGTAGTTACGACGTAACTACAAAAAAAGGGACAAGGACAGAAAGAGCCAGTTCGTAGTCTTGCACGGTGCCAATATGTTGATTCCCAATCACCAACTAGCCCAAGCATCTGTCTTATCGCTACTTCTAGTGCAAAAAAAAAAGTCTCGTAATTAATTAAAATGTGCGCCTGCGAAAAAAAAAAAAAAAGACATTCTTCACTGCAATGTAGAGATGACACGCAGGCAGCATATTGCATGTTTCTCAAAACATCAGCGTGTCATGATTTACCCTTTGTTTCTATGATTGTAAATAAATAAATAAATAAATAAAAGACAGTGTGACGGAATTCACGATGTATGCGAAGCTCCGCTTGCTGGCTGCTCCAGCAATTTGCACACTTGCACTGCTGCCGGAGTTTTTGCCTACGTCTACTTCGAGAACTAAGTTCGAAAGTTTCAATGATCATGTTTTCCAACCAAAACACATCGCGAATTTCGTCACACTAACCATTATAAAATTCTTTTTTTACCAGAAAGAGTGGGCGAATGGTCGCACCACGACATGCTGATGTAGTGAGGAGCAGGTGACACGCTGCCCGCGTGTCAATACTCCGTCAGTGAAGATGTCTTGCTTTTCACAAGCGCACATTTCAATTCATCATGACAGCGTCTTTTTTCATTGTAATAGCAATTATATGGACACTCTCGGCTGAATTTTGGGCCATATATGTATATGCATAGATACGAAAACGCAAGAAAGAATAGTAATCCGGTGCGCAGAATCAAACGTCCAACCTCTTGCTTGTGAATGTAAGGCGTTGGCCACTGAGCCACAAAGCAGCACCTCCTTTGATGCTGTAACGGCAAGCTATTCATATATACCACTTACCGCTGCCGACGGTGGAGCCAAAAACTAGCCGGCACAAAAAAAGACCCAGCCCTGATTACTTCGAACAATTCTTAGTTTATTGCATCCGACTTTTTGTATGTTCTGTTAGTTCAAAAACTCAATTTTCTCACAGTCCCAGTGGCTTCAAATTCATGAGGTTTTACTGTATATAGCAGTACGACAGCACATATTACCAATTTAAAAAGTTCACTGAATCTGCTCTGGTACACGACAACAAAGATCGATCACCCTCACCAAAATATACAGTATTCCGGAGCAGCTATCACTTCTACAAGTATCGAATTTACTGCACCAGCATGGAAAAAAAGTAAACCATTGAGTAAAAAAATTGCCTAATTTCTTACTCTTTCAAATTGCAGCAGTATAGAAAAGGAAGTGGCAAAAAACAAACTGCGATTCATTACACAGATTCTCGCACTCACAGGGTCTGAAAAGCTGCAACCTGAGACTTACTTCATCACTAGGGAGGTATGGGCGAATGGTGTAGATTTTGCTGCTGGGCAACTCTGGGGGCTTGTAGAGGAACAGATCACTCCCGCTCTCCAATGGGAGCAGTCGCTGCAGATTGAGCATAAACTGTACAACTCGGCTTTGCACGCAGAAATTCTCTTCACTAATAGTACAGGTACATTGCAGTGCTTAAATGAACAAGAAGGCCAAACTTGTTTGACTTGAATTATATTACATAACAAGCGTTCCATAGCAAGCAGGCAAATGTTAGGCCTTTCTGGGTGCAGTAGATGAAAAGAAATCAACTCTTTCAGCAACAGCTCCTCTGGCATAATTAAAGTCAATGTTAAAGGCCATGCTTGTATGAATTGCAATGACCAAAAGAGATTAATAAAAATATGTTGATTGCAGTATGCCGTTTCATTTTTGCATGTGCATTTCAGTGTCTCTTAGAATTTTCTGACATGAATAGCTGTTAAGTGAACAAAAGAATTGTAGGCACATTTGAAGAGCAACAGCCCTGCAGGTCTATTTAGTGCCATAGCACGCTGAGAAACACAAAGGGTTTTGGACAGCAATGGAGCAGATAACACAGTGGTGGTACCACGCTTCCTGGTGTCACAGAATCCTAGTCATAATGAAGGCTGCTGTTTGTGTATTGTGAAAAACCATATACACAGCACTACACCTGTATATGGATATCCAAAAACCATATATACCAGCAAGGGGTATGTGAATATTAAATTTTTTAATACATTTCATATATCAAATAATCAAGCAATGAGATTTTGTTTTACCACTAATATCATACTTTACCACATTTACGTTGAAAACAGTACACTTTTGAGCTATTCTAGTCTGTTATTGCATTAAAACAAGTGCCACCATTTGTGCTTACTAGGAAGCATACGACTATAGAAAATTGTTGAGCTTGTGATTGCAATGTATTGAGTTGCTGAGGATTTATTTCAGAAGACAGTGCGATGGGAGCGTGACGCACGCAAGACGAATTCCCAAAGACATCGTAGGGAACACAGCATAACTATGCAGTAACTGCCTCAAATTTCCATCGCACGAGAAAAGTATGCGATGAAGCCATTATAATTACCAAAATTGCATTGCCTTTTCTTTGTTTGCCATTGCGAGGGTGAACACTTCAGCTTATTCGCATGATCATGCGACAGAAAATTAGGTGGGCAGGTGAAATTCAGAAGTTTGCAGGTATACGTGGCAGCAGAAAGCACAAGACCAGGTTTATTGGTGGAACATGGGAGAGGCCTTTGTCCTGCAGTGGGCCTAATTTTGCTGATGACAATGACGATATAGCCATGCTGTTTTCTGCACTTGGATCCTGAGACATTGGATATTGCCATAAAGCTATGCTTATTTGTCTGCACATGATATAGATTCTTATTTTGTAAAGCTGTAAGACAGATTGTAAAGGATATTTCAAAATATTTGTGTGTGCTTATTTTAACATTAAAAACAAACCAATAAAATTTCTGTACAGATAGGTCCTTTGTAAATATCCTTATACAAAAATATTGAACTTAATTTAAATTCACTAATTTTTCTATGACAATGAGAAACTACGATGTGTTGCAACTTAATAACTACATTAGAAAGGTTATAACTAGGCTTGTGCAAATATTCGAATGCTTTGAATATTTGAAGGAATAATGTACTATTCAAATTTGTTTCAAATCAAATATAAATAAATGAAAATTTCAAGTTACTCTACATGAACGAATGGATGCATATCAGTCAGCATGTAACATCCTGTAGAGATGGTTTCACTGCAATGCAGTGTTGCTAAACCGTGATAACACATATCCAGGGGATATCCACATTATCGCGAATCCTCACTTAAAAGTTAAATGAGGATATTACGCTCACATTGATTCTTTTTTTTTTTTTCAAGTTTAAAAGCTCAATATGCGAACTTTTACGCTTTATGTATAGCGAATTTTAGATTGTAACATATTTTGCAGGCCATCACTTGCATTCTACCGAAATTTAAGTCCTGCTACTATTCAAAGTTGTTTCCACTTCCTTTGAACTAAAAAGAATGGCATTTTCACAGACCTTTCAGAAAAACCCTGCACATCTAAAAAAAATATATATGTGCAGGTTTGTTAGGTTATGACAAATGTGCCCACTTTTCTTTATAATATGCAATATATAGTATACTATCCGAATTTGATTCAAAATCATTCAACCAAAATCACTATTCACTTTGAATTAGCTTCACACCTCAAGTTATCTATCCACACAAGCCTAGCCAAAACAAATTTTTGTTATAACAGCACAACAAATAACATCTGCATGCCAAATTTCATAATTTTATCTTCGTAAATAAAAGCAAAATTCATTGTCAAGTCTCCCCTTAAGGGGTTCATAGAGGAGAAAATCAAGGTCAACAGTTCAATGCCAAAATGTAGATGCACGATGTCACAGATTTCAATAACAATAATGATATCCGGAGCTTAACGTCCCAAAACCATGATATGATTATGAGAGACGCCATAGTGGAGGCCTCTGGAAATTTTGCCATCTAGGGTTCTTTAACGTGCCCCTAAGTGTACGTACATAGGCCTCAAACATATTGCTTCCATTGAAAATGAAGCCGCTGCAGCCAGGATTCGATCCCACGATCTTCGGGGTCATGCATTTCAAAGTATTCATTTTGTATTTTGGCAATATCAGTTAAACCAAATTCTCTGAAACTTGCCTTCGACAATGTCGTCTCTCAATCAGTTTTAAGAGGTTAAACCCCATATAATAATAATAATAATAATAATAATAATAATAATAATAATAATAATAATAATAATAATAACATTATTATTAATAATGGTTTATTTTCCACCAATACACAGTTGATGAAGGGGGTGAGAATAAAAGCGACTATCCGCTTGACTAAGTATTCAGCCCCCTATTTGCATAAGGCAGTGGCGGTGGTAGCAACAGAACACCACAGCTGACAAAAAGTATGTAAAGAGTGCTTAGTAGCACAAACGACAGGAGGGAATAGGATCCCCTCTTGTCGTTTGCGCTGCTAAGCACTCTTTATCATGTTATACCAACACGCCCAATCCTACTGTCTCTTATGACAAAAGTACTCGGCATGTACATAACATAAACAAAATGAGAAATTATAAAACTTTCAAAGTCAGTGTAGACAGTTGTGTTGACAAAAACAAAAACACACACATGCATACTGTGCAATAAGCATATATAGAAATGTAAATCAAACGTCGCAGTTTGTAAACCACAAATACACAAAACATATAATTTACGTGCAGCGGTGACTGCATTTTCATTCCCTTAAGTTTTTCTTTACTGTTTTCCTAATTTTTGCTACAAACTTTGAAGATAGATCTTAATTGTCAGGAGTGTTAATATGATATTGGCGGAGTTGAGAAAGTACATGGGCTCCGACATATCAATCCGAGAAAGTACACGATGGCTCCGACATATCAATCAATTCCTGAAACTTGCTGTGTTAATTTTATGGCCCTCTTGAACAACAATGTACAGTCAAGTCCACTTACAACAATACCATTTATAACCCTATATCGGATATAACCAACAACGATGGCTCCGACTGTTTTTGCATCCTTTCTATGGTGAAGTAAATCACATGTTATGATGCTCCAGTGCCACGATATTGAATATAGCGACTGAATCCGGCTACAGCGAACGTCAACCGCATCGTGCTGCAGCCAGTGGCGAGAGCAACGATTTCAACGACTCGGTCTAGCAGCCCACCCAGGTACTGTCATCGCAGGAGGCCCAACAGATAATACAGCCCCTCCAGGACTGTTTTTACGAAGGACCTTCCACTCAGCCATGTGGAGCATAGATGCTCACGATGTGCACCACCTTAGCATGAAGAAATCAACAGACTGTGGCTGTTCTGCAAGCAAATAGGTACAGTCGATCCCGCATATATTGAACTCGAAGGGGATCGCAAAATAATTCGATATGTCAATAATTCTAAACACAAAAGATGCATATTTAAAGCCTAAAAGCATTTCAGGCCTCGGAAATCGTTACAAGTGCTAACATAACCATTCGGTCACAGTATAACAAAGGAGAAAGTGTGAACTGTAAGTTACCACATTGTATTTTGCATGAAAATAGTCCGTAAATTTGTCTTGCTTCTTGCGAGCTGTCAAATTCCAGTCACCTACAATATAATTGAAGCTTTTCATGTAAGTGAATTTGGCTCTTTCAGCCACAACAGTGTTGATTGATGCAGAACGCCGATGCAAGCTGCAAGCTTTGTAGCGCGGCAAAAGGTTGGTTAGCAGCTGCAGCGAAGGAGATAGCATATCCATAACCCCACAGGTACCCTTCCGCGGCACAGGCAACGGAAGCCATGATCTCGGCATCAATGCAGTCAGAAACAGCTACGTCATCATCTGCACCGACGAAATCGCTCACTGTCCGAGATGTTGCCCGGAATTCACTGAGGCACGGCTTCGTACATTGTCAGCGGTCGTGACGCACCTAATGTTGTCACCTTTCCCGCAAGGAAAGCTCACAACGATGCTTTATTTGACATCGCTCGAAGCGCCAGTCATAATTTTTATCGCTACGCGAGAGTCAACGTGTAGTTCAACTCCTAAATGAGGATTTATCAGGAACGAGGCTAGAAGTACACAAGTCCATAAGACACAAAAGAAAACGCTGAGTTCCCACCGTTGACATGTTGGCAATATCGATGTCACTTGTTGCTTTGCAGCTGGCAGTGCTGCTTGCAGCTTGTTTGATGCGAAAAACAAGAAAAATCATAGCCTCTGAGACATGCATTTTAAAACCAAAAACACTAAAAACACGTCACGAGGATGCACATCTCGAGAGCGATGCTTTTCAGGCTGGCATGCCACTGAGGGCTAACAAACAAGGAAGGCAATGTGAACATTGCAATGTGATTGCAGAGTCACTTCGCATTCACATATTGTTGTCCTTGGCAGTCGGCCTTATTGAAAAACACTGTGCCTGCATGTTAAGACCTGCAGATCGCGCATCAAACATACCGGTGCACTCGCAAGTTCCACGCAATGCACCAGATACCACATTGAAGGAATAGGGCCTTCTTAGAACACGGCTGAAAATTGATCTATTTTTGCTAGAAAAAATGAATTTTCTGGGCTTCGGCGCAGCGCAGCATTCGATATAACGAATGTCCCGCTGTGCAGGAGTTCGATATATGGATGCACCGGTATCCATACTTTTACATCAGAAATTCAAGGGGATTTCTAAATGGTTCAATATAGCAAATAATTCAATATATCTACGTTTGATATATCTGGGACCGACTATAGTATACATAGTTGCATGTAAATACTTGCATGCATGTAAATAAGATGTTTTCATTTCTCACTTGTCCAATTCTTTGTGTCAGCCCCCTTATCGGTTACAACAATGGGATTTTCTTGGCACTTGGATATAAGTGGACTGCGCTGTAATTCATTTAAATACAAAGCACGTTATGAGCGAGCTTGATCCGATGGCATCTGCGTTCCACTACACATGCGCCTACTCTCCCCCTCTAGTGAAAACGCAAGGAGGTGGGAGGACTCTCTCCTCAAGCGAGCGGTGTGAGAGGGTGGGGTGGAAGGGATAGCGTGAGTACTGCCTCCGCTCCACACTACTACGGGGCATGCCGAAACACAACGGCAACGTCGGCAAGCAAACCCCGCTGTTCGCAACGCCGACAATGAAGCCTAGTGTCAGCATTAAGTCAATGCGTTGGCTACGAACAGATGACGCGAGTCCAACGCCCGTGCAGAACGCCTCACTAGACAACTTTAACGCCTGGGCTTTGACGGTGCAAACTCCAATAAAATTGCACCACCTCCCACTGAAGGAGACCATGAGGCAATGTGAAGCAGCACGGGGGTACATGCCCCGTTTGCATCGGCTTGACTAGGTGTCTACATTAACAAACACATAAGAACATAAACACAACACAAATGATCACACTAAACACACAACATTAACGGACACACCTAATCAAACAGATGAAAACGTTTGAGATGTCTACTTAGGGTAGGTAATAACCGTGGAGCCAAACCACGAGATTGAAGTAACTAGAAGAATAAGAATGGGGTGGAGCACATTCGGCAAGCACTCTCAAATTATGACAGGTAGATTGCCACTATCCCTCAATAGGAAGGTATATAACAGCTGTGTCTTGCCGGTACTTAGCTACGGAGGAGAAACCTGGAGACTTACAAAGAGAGTTCAGCTTAAATTGAGGACGACACAGCGAGCAATGGAAAGAAAAATGGTAGGTGTAACCTTAAGAGACAAGAAGAGAGCAGAGTGGATTAGGGAACAGACGGGGGTTAAGGATATCATAGTTGAAATCAAGAAGAGAAAATGGACATGGGCCGGGCATGTAGCATGTAGACAGGATAACCGCTGGTCATTAAGGGTAACTAACTGGATTCCCAGAGAAGGCAAGCGGGTTAGGGGGAGACAGAAGGTTAGGTGGGCAGATGAGATTAATAAGTTTGCGGGTATAAATTGGCAGCAGCAAGCACAGGACCGGGTTAACTGGCGGAACATGGGAGAGGCCTTTGTCCTGCAGTGGACGTAGTCAGGCTGATGATGATGATGATAAATTTACAAACATAATAAAAACTTGTTTTAGTCTTAGGTGTATTTTCAATACAAAAAATTTTCAAAGGCGTACCTGTAGCTCGGCTATCAAGCCACCCCGAAAGAGCCAAGGTTCTTGATCGCCACTCATAAATGCTTCCTTATAGCCCTTTGAGAACCCTGTGAAATACAAGAAATTGATAGTGCCGTCGTCACTAACGTGCATAACAGCAGCAGCTCAACAATAAAAGACATTACTTTGTCCGAATAGTGGGGACAAAATATTGCAGGTAAACACACAATGCATGCATACAATGAGGCAAATGGGAAGCAAAAGCAGCCACTCAATAGTGCAGTCTGCATTATTGAGCCACAATTATGTCCAGTCAGATGTCCATTTTTACATTAAAAAAAAAAACTTCTCCCAATGTGCAAAGGAGTTATGGCACATATCAAGGCACTCTACAATTCAAGAAGGCGCAGACAATTTATTGGAAAGGAGACAAGAATGATATAGTCAAACAGAAGACGTGTTCATAGCATCCATAATAAGCAGAGTTACCCAATATTCTAATGATTATGAAATTGAAGTAACTAAAGTTCAGGCTGGGGTTACGTATTCTCAGTTGAGAATGTTTGTCTCCGTTTAACACCTATTTCGAATTCCTGCAATGTACTAAGAGGATTGAAAAGATTGGCTAGTGGCTCTTGGCAAGCCAACAGCTTAATGCAGTGCATTTAAACAGTCAGCAGTATACTTATAGCTTTACAACGACATAGCTCTTTTTGTTTTGTTTTCAACATTACTGCTGTTTGACCGAGATCAACAATGGCCAACAAAAACTGGTTGAAGGTGTGTTAAGGGGGCAGACTGGTCTTTGGGACCAAAAAGTGACAAAAAATTCATTTTTTAATATTGACATATTTGGTTTCTGCAGTATTTTTTGATCTTTCTGCAAATTTTCACACACCAGGTGTGTGATGTCACTCTAATGTCACTCTAACTGTCCAGATTCTTGATGCTGCTAACATGCAGAACCTGCGAAAAAAATGGGAAACACATTTCAAGGCTTCTTATAATTTGTTGGCACCTGTGTTAGAAGCTCTGCTACAAATTTATGAGCACCTTTATGAGGTTTCAAAACATGCGCACCAAGATTGTTGCTTTTTGAAGCAGCTGTGTGTTTTCAGTTTTTTTTCCATTTTTCTCAAAAAGGTAAATTTACGACTTAAATTTTGAGGCCTCAATATCTCTGCAGCTAGGGCAGTTACAACAATAATTCTTTTTGCAATGAAAACCTGTATGTGTGTAGAATGCAAGTATGAAAGCAGAATTTAGAGAACAAGCCTTTTTAATTAATTACTCATCAAAATTATAGCACAATTTCAACTGCTTTTGCAAATGAATAGCTCATTTTTTTATAAAATACCCAAGAAGGCCTAAAAACAACAAAAAAAAACTCTTGCATACTTTCAATCTATAGTCATTAGTCTATGCTGGCATGTCTTAAATATAACATTTAATTAAGCACTTTTTTTCTATGGCAGCCTTAAACATTAGGGGGTGAACTTATCTCAGGAACAAGATAGGTTACGGGAAAACTAATTAAATATTTGAAACCAGCAGAAAAAGCTGCATCATTTTGTGCAGTTTCATGAAGATCACTGAAGAAATAAATAAAAAAATGTCTAAGACCAGTCTGCCCCCTTGAGCATATAGTACACTTTGAAGCTGCTCCAATTTAAAAAAGTTTGGTTAAGAACAAATAAAGGGAAAAAATGCATGGAAGCAAATGTAAAAAATCTAATACTAATTGATCGGCTTCACATTCTAAAGCTAGACACAGCCTATTCATGACATGTCAATGGGAGACCTTGATTCAAGGACCTAATGACCTTTCGTTACTACATGTCAACCAGCTTTATGCAATTTTCTCGTTGGTTTTTACACCTCTGCTATTAACCATGGAGATTAATTTTGGTCAATAGTAGATAAAAAAAAGAACTGCAGGATTCAGACTTGGTCTGGCAGTCTTGTTTGTGCGAAGAAGCACATGAACAGCACATTAAACTGTGTACAGAGAGCCAGATATTGGGCACCATATGTACAATAGCTTAGAATTGCCTCTACATCAAACTAAAATACACCCTCCAGAACAGACATCTTAATTTATACAAGTGTGCTTAAATGTTCATATAGCCAATAATAATGTGAAGCTTTGGAGCATAAGCCCATATTAGCAAGGGCCTTCTAATACAAAAATATTTTGACCAGATTTGGAGTGTAGAGCAGTATAAAGGTGGTGATAAGGGAAGAATACTCACAAGATAGGTAGAAGCAACCTTATCTCTCTAATACTGAGGGGAGGCAGTAGTGTTCAAAAATATGTAATCATACCATGTAAACAAGTGATGCGACAAGCTTTTCATCTTCACCTCAGCGAATCTCGTTAACATCGAGCTATTACAAAAAAAAAACTGTGTCAAGAATAAAACCAGTTTTGATTATTAAGCATCAGGGCAAATGTTCCTTCAGTAATCAACCAATGTTCCTGTACCAGTTACATATAACTTCCGTGTGAACAGAGGTGCTATCATAATAAGCAACGCAGGCTGATATCTTACACGGCTTTAAAATAGCAAAACCACTCTCTGCACAACCCTTCTACCTTTTTTTGGATGCATGTGAACAGCTGGCATGTGCCATTTCAGCCAAAAGAACAACTGACCCTACTGCTCGAAAAGCACGCAAAAATAATTTGGGGGTGGGGAACACACGGCAACCAATAGCTTCTGCCACTTGAGTGCACCAAAGTAGTGTCATTGGTAGACCTAGGCAAAAGAAAATGCATGTCATTCTCCCTAAGGGCCAACAGGAGTGGACCATAGGTCTGAGATCATTGTCAATGTGATTTCACTCCTCACTGGAAATGAACACCACATGGACAAGAAGAAAAAGAAGAAACACCAGGTGCGTACATGAGAATGAAGGCGAGGCAAAGCCCAATGGAGAAGAGCACGGCACGCCTCCGAGAGCTAGGCAGAACATGAAGAAACAAGAGAGGAGACTTGAGTTAGAGCAGCAGGGGCCACATCTGTCCAGGCAAGCCTCCTCCATCGCGGCACCAGTCAACCAGTTTTGAGGCAGCATAAGCAAGACAGAGAGGCTGCATTCCTCTCTAGAGTCACAATAGCCAGCAAGTTATTCAGCATGTAACAAGAGCATGCTAAAAACAATGGGAAGATTCGATTAGTCACTTTACACTAAAATACAAGCTGCCAGACTTGGTACATTAACACAAAACAAAACAGAGAAAGGAAAATTTCTTTGTATGCTAATCTTGTCCTGAAAATTATCTAGCCAAACTGATGCCTGCTGCTGTAGAAAAGACCTCAATAAGCATTCTCCCGTGCCTTCCAAAGACATACGGCCTCTGGCACAGGACTACAAGGACGCACTCACCTATCCATTTGATATAGGCGTTGAGCAATGAGATGGCAGCCCCGATGTCCCAGACATATGGGTACAGGTCAAAAAGTACAGCCCGGTTAGGCACGTACATGAGCCGTCCGAGCAGCCGTCCGACAGCTTGTGTCATTTGGTCAAACTTAAACGCTCGCTTGCGCCACTCCTCAAGTTCATCCAGCCTCGCTTTAGAATCTACATTTCCTCGTTTGCAGCATTCCCACACAATATGGCCATTCATACGAAGCCAGTGGAATTCATTCAGGAAAGCAACTCCTTGAGTTCCATGCTCAAAAGGCAAATAGAACAGGTCTACTAGAATGGCAAGGTCTTCCACCGTCAATAGCCGTGTGTCATCTAGTGGTTCTTCTGTTTGCATGGCTTCACTAGACGAGAGGCAGTCCATAGGCTCCAGTGAAGTCGATGACGGCTGCGCCAGTGAATTCACTATTTCAGTTGACAGTGGCTGGAATGAAGGCGCCTCATCAATATGGCTGCTACTTGCAACGTTGGCACCAGTACTGGCATTACCACTTGGTGGTGTTGGTGCGCCTCCACCAGCCAGAAAGGCACCAGACAGAAGTCGTCCATGCGCAATCTTGATCCGGTAAAACTCTGGCAACCAGTCAACAAGGGCTGCTCGCAGCGCTTTACGTGGATGGTATGCATCTGGTTCCAAGTGGGAGGTCAATTCTTCTGATTCACCCTCAGTTTCAAGCCTGATATCGGCACTCACAGACTCATCTGAAACAAACATGGCAAACGGCATAATTATGCACAAACAAAAGTAACGTACTGAATTTGCATTTTACCCTCATCAAAATCTGTCTTAAATATGAGGACTAACATTGAAAATCGCAAGCAATCTACAGAACTAACTTCAATAAAGCTAACTCCCTAAAAATGTTACTTATATGGGGGGAGACTGCATTCTACAGTAGAACCTCGTTAATTCAGTCACTGGGACCATGAGAAATCTGCAAATTAAGCGGGTTTTCGAATTAACAAAACATATGAAAAGTGGGATGCAAGAAACTTGTAATTACTTAGTAATCAGGGCTGGTCGTTAGCTGTGCCACCTAGTTTGCGCCTCCAGGGGTCATGTTTTCCCCACAATACCTAGTCTTAAAGGGGTACTGACACAAGATTCCGCGGCCAAGATAGCCTGCGGGGTCGTCCCTTGAACATTCCTATCTCATCTGCAAAATATCAATAGCGACTATAGTTCAGAAGGTATTTTAAGTGAATTTTGAAGTTTGCGCGAGTCCTCAACTCCGTTGTGTCATTGACACCCTCGAAGGGGACCCTTTGGGGACCCCCTACTTCCCTTCCGTCATCACGCTGCAGTCAATAATGAAACAAGTTATGATGCCATCACAGCTGCCATTTTTCTTTGGCCGCGTTTGTTCCCGCCATCTGTACTTCTCACCGACTGGTTGTAAGTGTGTGGCCGTGGCGCAAGCTTTAGAAGTTTTGTGTTTGGCGACACAGCAGTCCCGTTTCCTATTCAAAAGTAGTTCTTGATGCGGACCATGTGGAACTGTGTCACAGTTCTGTGTGCTGACGTAATCAAGAGCTGCACAGGCTAGGCGGTGATAGTTGCACCAGGCTTTTGGAGTTCTCTCAAATCGAAACTTAAACTGGTCGATAATGATGGGCCTGTTATTAATTATCTGTTGCAAGCTACAGCAAACAATGTGTTGTGTCATGACTAACAGGCCCCCAGCAACACATTGTAGCAGAAAAACGCGAGGCCAAGGTTTTTGTGTCAGTACCCCTTTCGTTTTAAGGGGGGGCAGACTGCTCTTTGGGACCAAAAAGTGACAAAAAAATCATTTTTTAAAATTGACATATTTGGTATCTGTAAGTATTTCGCTATCTCTCTGCAAATTTTCACACACCAGGAAGTGGTAATTTTTTTTAATGTCATTCTAACTTCCCAGATTCTTGGTGCTGTTAACATGCAGAATCTGTAAAAAAAATGGGGAACCAACTTCGAGGCCTCTTTATAATTTGCAGGCACCTGTGTTAGAAGCTCTGCTACGAATTTATGAGCACTTTTATGAGGATTGCAAAACATGCACACCATGATCGTTGCTTTTTGAAGAAGCTGTGTGTTTTCAGTTTTTTCCATTTTTCTCAAAAAAAGTAAATTTACAACTGTTCAATTTTTAGGCCTCAATATCTCTGCAGCTAGGGCAGGTACAACAATAATTCTTTTTGCAATGAAAACCTGTATGTGTGTAGGATGCAAGTATGGGCGCAGAATTTAGAGAACAAGCCTTTTTAATTAATTACTCGTCAAAATTTTAACACAATTCCAACTGCTTTTGAAAATGGATAGTTCATTTTGCTGTAAAATATTTAAGAAAGGCTTAAAAACAAAAAACTCTTGCATTATTTTAATCTATAGTCATTAGTCTATGTTGGAATATTTTAAATATCATTTTTAATTAAGCACTTTTTTTGTATGACGGCCTTAAACAATAAGGGATGGACTTAAGTTATCTCAGGAATAAGATGAGTTACAGGAAAACTAATTAAACATTTGAAAGCAGCAGAAAATACTGCATAATTCTGTGCAGTTTGATCAAGATCACTAAAGAAATAAACAAAAAATGTTTAAGAGCAGTCTGACCCCTTAAAACACGGAGAAATGGCAGGCCTCATTGCTGCCATTGAAAAAAAAAACGCTGTTGCGATTAACTGAAATGCGCACCTGCGGAAAACAAGACATATTCAGTGCAAGACAGTGGTGGCAAGCGAAGCAGTATGTCACCTGCTCCTCGCTGCGTCTACACATCATGAAGTGACCATTCGCCCATTCTTTCTATACAAATAAAGAATTTAATGGCCAGTGTGACGAAATTAATGACGTGTTTTCTTTGAAAAACAATCAATGAAGCTTTCGAACTTAGTTTTCAAAGTAGGCGTTGCAGGCAAGACCTCCGCCAACAGTGCAAATCAGCAAATTTCTAGAGCGACCAGATATCGGAGGTTTGCATACATCGTGAATTCCACCAAACTGGCGTTTATTATTTCTTTATATTCCCAAAAATAATGATTAAATCATGACGTGATGACGTTGCTAGAAGCATGTGATATTCTGCCTGCGCATCACCACTGTGTTGCAGTGAATCATGTATTGTTTTTCGTAAGTGCACATTTCAGTTGACCCCGAGATTGTCTTGAGTTCTTCGTGCTGGAAGTAGTGAAGCTGGGGTGCTTCAACTGCTATTCAGTTTCGCTACGCTGCATTGCCTTGTGGCTCTTGAGGGACGTCGTTTCCGCGGATGGGCGGTGAAATCAGGATTGGGAATCAACACATGTCATTTAAATTTTTCACATTAACCAGTCTGCTGCTGACTTCCACTTCAAATTATCAAATTATCCGACTTGCATTGCAAAATACGGGACTAAGAAAATATTTTCAAGTAAGTGCGATATCAAAGTAACAAAGTTTGAATTAAGGAGGTTACACTGCATTTGGTTGCAAGTCCCATTCAGGATCACGTTGGCTGTGGTTGAAAGAATACATATTCAATGATACTCCTGATGTATGATTATTTTTCACTATTGCATAGTTGTAGGTTGAACTAACTAAGACATAATATAAGCAGATAAACTACTTTCGGCATATTGGATTGAAATATGCTGGCTTGTAAGAACTCCATGAACTGCACATCCATAGCAGAAATTTGAGCCTTACTAGTATTCATTTCTGTAGGCATTAGAAATTAATAAATGGTGAATACATATTCAATAATACTCCTGGTGATAATTATTATTCACTCTTGCATAGAAAGAAGCAGTCATTTATTGCAAGACTGCACTATCATGTCAATGTCAGATAAAACAATATGGCATATACAAGCCACCAGAGGTACCTCACAAACTTGTTTTACATTACTGATGATCACCTAGGTCAGAATTTGGCAACTTGTGGCTCATGGGGCAGTAGTATGTGGCCCTGGCACAACATCAAACCCCCTCCCCCTTTTAGTTTCCTATTTTAAACAGACATGACAGCTTTAACCCATAATGTAGAAGTGTGCCTATTTGAAATTTCGAATATTTTTCAATAGTGCTTGCAACTCGATTTTATTCGCACTGGAATTTCACTATTTGAGCTTCCTAAAGACAAATACAGTTCAACATGTGATTGACAGTTGCCCCTTCAAATTTTCAATATGCTTCACCACATCACACTCGTATTGCAGCAAAGCTGCTTTTCATACTCTGCCACCGTTGTTAATGTACCGACTCAAGAAAATGCTACTTCTAACATAGAGATGATAGATGTGGCAAAGGTGGGGCTCAATCAAAAGCCATTCTGGACTGCGAATTTAGGATGGAAGTTAGAAAAATAAGATATCGAAGATTTGTAGCATCCAAACTGTCAAATGTTCTTATATATTGATGTCTACGAGGCAAATTTGGAACTCCAGACCCGAATCGCACACCCTTGTTTGCCACATCAGTTTGGCTTCCACAGAAGTTGAAAGAGGAGAGGCTGAGGAAAGAGCATCTGTGCTTTCACGTGTAAAGTTTTGTTTGCAACACTTTGGCTGCACCAAATCATGTACATAAATACAGTTCAGCCTCTGCATTGGCTCATTCTTGATAAGACAAACTATGATACACCACCCTTGATATGATATACCAGCCCAGCATTTCATCAACCTAGCCAAAAAAAAACACATTTATGTCGATATCTCATAATTATATGCTTAAAAATACTTTCCAACTTTTTTTCTGTAATTTTGCTTCGAGGTATTCGAAAGGTATTCAAGAAATATTTGAAAAAAGTGATTCAATTTACACACACACTTCAACATTTGAATTCACCTCGCACATTAGATATTGCTATTTACAGAGCTCCACTAAAGTGCTATTTTCGCAAGTAACCTATATTAGACTTCAACTTTGCTGAAAATAAACACAATTTTGAATCCTATTTTGCAAAATATTGCAAATTTGTCAAATTTTCACGCTTTGCCTTGCCTGCAGAGACCCCCCCCCCCCCCCCCCCAGACCTGTGTCAGCTTCAAGCAACTTGGCCCTGCCCCTCAAATGTTTGCCGAACCCTGAACTAGGAGACAGAACTGCCAAGCAACAAAAAAACCCACTGTCCAGATGATTTATGCCACAAGCACAATTCTATCAGTCATAATCATGGCATCAATCATAGTTTAACTCTTTCTGTACCATGCCCATATGGTCATTGCTAGGTTTAAAATTACAACTTTCGAGACATTTCACGCCGTTCAGACACACTGCCCCATTATCTACGAAGAACAAAAGAATAGCTTTCTTTTTTATGTAGTTTTGTTTTTCTCCTTCGTCACCTTGACTTTTTAATGCATTCTAAAGTGGTGCAATCATCCAAGTGCAAAGCAAAAAATGGCCACTGCCGGATACTGTGCACGTGCTTTGAAAGGTCAGGGATATCAGCATTGCGGCATATTTCTGGCCAATATTATCAATTTAACAAGCAGCAGAGCTCAGAATTGCTGTTGTATGTACAGTTAAACATGAATATAACAAAATTGACAAATTTCTGGAAAATTTCGTTCTGAAGAGGATTTTGTTATAAGCAAGTTCAGTACGAAAATTGAAAAAATAAATGCACAAATTAAACAAAAGTAGAACTACAGGCAGAGCTAACTAAAAACACTTGTTTAGCAGTAAAAAAGTGTGATATTACGATAGCAATTATACAGACACTCTCAGCAGGTTTTTGC